TAATGATTCGAGGGGCTAATTAACATGCTAATTAATTAGTGCGGAAGATATTTTAAGTTACGAAATCAGACACAAAAAGTACTTATTCTGAATAAACAAACCTTTTTTTTCAATTGTTTTGGATTTCTGACCTCCAAAATATAAACGTTAGCCGCAATCTGGGAAATATGGTCCCTATAGTTTGGTCAGGAGAGCGATCCGAAGTTTGGACTTTATAATGTTAATTTTATTTTTTGCGTATTTCACCATACCTCACCAGGGTGATCCGTTTTCTTTTTTTCTTTTTTTTTCCTTTTTTTTTGTTGCTTACTGTATATAATAAAGAAGGCGGGTATGATGACCAAGTTTTTAGATCATAGCACACCCTAAACAAACGCGTGTTAAACATCAGCAACATACATAAAACTTCCATATTGCAATTAATCAATTAAGAAAATATTCGGATTATTTCAATAATCAAAATCCATAGTTCAGACAAAAACCTTTTTTTAACAAAACATACAATTTCTATTTATAGTGGCGGTGACAAAAAAAGGTTGTTTTAAGATACTAAAAAATAAGATAAAATCTAAATAGCATTATGGGTCAGGACTGGCAAGGGAAAAGTAATTTCAGGGAAGAATATCTTGGATGTCTAGTGTCACAGTAACGTCGCTAATGATTGCTCTTGTGTGACCGCTTACAAGGTACTGATACACATTTACAACACGCAAATCGAAACAAAATAAAACCTTCAAAAGAAGAACTATCTATACTGAGTAAAGAAGTGTGGCCAAAAATTACCAGAATATGGTAAAGTTTACCTCATTTCTGGCTCTATGGGAACGCCGAAAAGCTTGGTAATTATTACCGAGCTTTTTACCTAAGCGCTTTGGTAAAATTAACAATATAATGTGGTTTAATAATCTGTGATAAAATTTAGTAAATGAGTAAAAAATTTAGTAATTTTATCATGATACCTTTAAGTATGGCATAAAAAACATTTATTCGGTTGAATTTGCTTTTTATCTGTATGCAATATAAAATTTTCATTCAGAAAATATAAAAATTTATATTTATTTTAATCATTGATTTCTTGAGGTTAATGTGAAGCAAAATTTATTCCATATCTACAAGCGTTAATTATGATGAGAAAAAGATTTTAAATTATTAAATTTTTTATTTTTGTAAATTCATTTCTAAATTGTACATGTTTAGCATAAATATTACTGATAATCAAGGATACACAAATCCCGGTGTCTAAAAAAATATAGCTGGAGCCCAATTTTTTCTCAAAATTTAAATTGTTTTATTTTATAAACCTGAAAAGCAGAGTATTTCTGAGGAGTTCAGCCTCTAAAAATTTATCACTTTTAATAATTATGCGTATGATAATTACAATAAATTATGTAATTAAACATTGCATTTTACATTAAAACTTTTTATTGATTGTAAGTTTTCATTCATAAATATTTGTAATTACATATAAGGTAATGCACTAACCGAATGCATTCATATTGCGAACAGCATTGATGAATAAAAAAAGAAGTTTAAAAAATTATTCTGGTCAAGTCATTATCTATTTATATTTATTTTTATATTTATTTATATTTTTTATTTTTTCACTAATTCTTTTTTTTTTTCTTTAAATGCATCTCGTTTTATGGTTGATTCATATTGCAATTTAATGTTTGAGAAAGTAAATAAATAAAAGTCACTCCATTTTTTTTTATTATTATTCGTTTGTATGGTGATACAAAGTTCGCAAAATAACATTTTAAGTTTTTTTCTGCAATGCTTGGGTTAGCAACCTGAATATTTCGCTTTAAAAAATTTAACATTATAAGCGTGACCATTGTTGGTACTTCTGTTATGTAGCTTTCCTTGTACACCCTTTGCAACTCTTGTTATTTTTTATTTAATTCTATTTATTTTTTGTGTGAGTGCAAGATAAGTAAGAAAAGGGTTGATTAGAAATGGCGGGGTCGCCCTCTCTCACTTCAGGTGGAACAGAATAAATCGAAAATGAGTGAGGTGTATCGAATAGACCGAGGCCATTCCTCTGTAAATGACTGTTCTTTTGAGATACGTAGAAGGAACATTTTATGTTAATGCACATCTATAGAAACATATGGCATTAACACATGTGAACAGAAAAGCATCTAAGAATAATTTTCCGTTTTTTTTTAAGTGCTTAGAATTTTAAATATTGAAAGATAGAAGTAAATCAAGTATCACAAATATTTATGCTTTAGATTTTATCGCATTCCCTTTTAAAAATAATTTTCAATCATGCACATATTTTTGTTAGCAATTTATTCATTGTATTCCTTGATTTAATAGTACAGTGGCGTAACTCCCGTCAAGTAAATTTTCCTTGATTTTGTGGAGAAATTCGATCAATTATACTCTCAGGTACAAAATATCCCCAACAGTAGAAGTATAGATTAGAGATCATTGTAGGAGTTTTTCGTACTTTTACTCTCTGTTTAAAGTAATTACGGGCTCATTTTAGGCAAAAAGTTTAACACAGAAAAAACTAGTTTGTGTCGTTTTCGAATCCAGACATTCTTTTTTTTTTTCTAGCTTTGGTTAAAAATAACAATATTAAAGAATCGAATATTGAATTCTGCACATCCGCTGTATGGATCGGCTGTCGACAATAAAAAGAAATAAAAAAAAATATTTTATACCTCTAGAAAATTTTTGTTTATCAAATTTCCAAAGCTCATCTATTGTGCAATTTTTAATATATAATTTTCTCAATTTGTTTTAAAATCATATTTCCCAAACTACACTCAGCAAGACAAACATATTTAAGTTTGCAGCGCTTATGACTTTTTTCTAAAATAAATAAATATAAAAAAATTTCCTGCTTTTAACGTTCTTTATATTACGAAAGATTTATTATTATTATTTAACTAATATCCTTTCTTCAAATATTTCTGGAATGTCTCATCTATAAAGAATTCGAAAGTGTGACCTTGATTCTTTTGTTTGATAACAAAACGTAAAATCAATAGGTCGCATCGACAGCTGAGCTTAGCCATATAGCAGCTGGCAGAAAGTCAGAAGAATTTTCATGCGATCATCTGATTGCGCTTTATATTATATGAGAAATGACAAAATAAGTATTTATTGCAAAAGAGGAAATACCAATTATTTATTTTAACAATTCATCATATACAATGCTATTTAATACATTTATGACGTATTTATGATTTATTTTAATTTGATGGAAAAAAGTAGTTTTAACAGAAAGTGTAAAAAAAGATTTAGCACGATTCTCTAATTGCGTTGAATGTTATTTGTGATGCTTCATAATACGTTATTTGATGCATAATAAAAAATATGTATTGTATATTGGTACTTAAAATAAGCGAAATGAAGAATTATTCAGTAATTCACCTATAGATTTGCTCGGTAATTATTTTATTCACTATTTTAAACTTTAAAAAAAAATTATATATAGTTAAAAAAATAGACTAATAAATTATGCCACTTAATAGCATCTAATGTTATGTGAGATGCGTCAAAAAAAATTTTTTTTGACAAATTTTAAAAAATGCCCATTATTTATTTGTAATTAATTCATTATTTAAAATAATTTTTTATTTCATTTATGGGATTATTTGGTAATTGTTCTATTCAATGTTTAAGTTGTCAAAACATTTTTTATCTCATAACATTAAATGTTAATTCTGTATTTTTAAACGTGATATAACGTAGAATTATTATATAATTCATTGGAGTTATGTATGAATAGTTTTTATACATTATTTATTTATTACTAGAAATAATGCAAAAAAATAAATACTTTTATGCTGCTCTCAATTTCATCTCAGAGTACATTTGATGTGAGAATTAAAAGTAACACATAACAAAAAATGACAACTAATTTTTTTTTAAAAAAAATATATAATGAAGAGCGATAACATAATTTACACATGGGAATATTCATGAATTATTTTATTTCTTATTTAGGTTTATGAAAGATCAAAGTCACCTTAAGCAAGTGGTATTTATTATAAAGAAAGGAATCAATAATGAAATATCACAGGCATAATAAAATTATCTTTGAATATTAAGCTAACAGTGTAAAAAAAAATAACTGGAGTAATTATTGACTTATTTACAAATAATAATAACCTTGTATTTCCTTATATTAGTTTAAAAATTCAATTTTCTTAGTAAATAATTATGCAAATCATAAAACATCTGTACAATTTATAAAATACCATACATATTAGATCTAAAATTCTAAAACACAAGCACTTAACATAGTAGATATTAATTCTACCTTAAACCATCTCAAAACAATTATTAACAAATTTTAAATCCTACGTAAAAATCTAAGCAATTATATGAACTAAAAAACAATCAATAGGATTATACCGTAAATGTTCATTATTGTACTGATAAATACATTTGTATAATATGAAACAAAGACAGGCAAGAGAAACTGAGTATAAGTCTCTAATAAAAATTCTATTTCTTAATGTTTTAAAAATTTAAAGGAATTAAATATCCCATTATGAAGAGTTAAATTCTATGATGATTTTACAAAACTGCATCGACATAATTATTGCAATATTTACATGCACCAAAATTAGATGAGAATTGAACTAAAAATTTGGTATATATTGAGTAATTCACAGATATTGCCAGTGATACATGAAAACATTAACTTAATTCTAATCTTGGATACCTTGTCCAACACAAAGAATTCTCAATATGAAGCAGAATATACATATATAAATAAAAATTCTACAAATAATAAAAATAGTAAATATATACTGATATGTATATGATCAATGTATTAACATATATTGATATCAAACAAAATTCTTAACCATATTTCTTACTTCAATTAATGCATAACTTAGTAAGGTATTTTAGATTGTTATGATCTCATAAGATTTGTTTCTGTTGATGAATTTGTCAACAAAATTTAATCCTTAATGCCATCTTCTGCAAAAATTATTACAACCAATTTAAAAGAAAAAAAATTAATTTCTTACCTTTTCAAAGCTCCGCTTCTCCCGTTTTTTCCGTTTCCTATTATACTTCTCCCAGAAACGGAGGATCGGGAGGGTAGACTATCCGGAGTTTCCACTGCATCATCATCCTTGGACGGCATATGGACGGAATTGCCGTTCACGTGATGCTGTTTTACGCTACTGTTGACCGTGCCGTTCACTGCACCGTTAACAGTACCGTTGATGTCTCCGTTATTAACACCGTTTGCTGCACCCACCATAATAGACTTCGGTTTTTGAGGGATATTACGTCCTTCGCCATCACCTTCTTGAACAACGTAAGGAGTCATATTTACAATATGATCCACCTTGATACTGAATTCAAGTAAATAATCTAAGTATTTACAATTATACAAATAATTGTTGCACAATACCAACGAGACGGTTTAAGGTAATAATTTGATATGTAATTTCACAAATTTTTAAAGTTAAAAAAAGGTTTGCTCTATACGAAATGCTATTTAAATAGCATTTCCAAATCTGAAAATAGTTGTGATGATCATCTTATCAATGATTGAGATAATAAATTTTTCTGTATTTATTTTGGAGACTAGACTCAAATAATAGGAAAAAAATCAATTTATTACGACTTATCCAGCTTCACACAAAAGTGTGGAATGGAGTTATCTTTTATCGTTAAAGATTATTTCTGTAGAGGAGTGTGTAATAATATACTTAAAATTCCTCTAGTTTCAATCAATATTTTATCTCGATTTTTTTTTCGAACTTTAAAGCTATTTGATTTTCAGCTGTAAACGCTATTTCAAATTTCGCAAGATTACAAAAATAGATCTTTTACTTCAAAGGAAATAATTTCTACATGATCATATTCATTTTTTTTATCAATTTAATGGAAATAAAGGGTTTAGATAATTTAGTCGATTACTTTTAATCAGACTAGATTGATGTATTATTATATTTTATAGTGTTCATGTCTTTTTCAACCATGGCACAACTTAATATGCCTTCTAACATGACACAGAGCAAATCTCATAAAATATTTCGATTATCTTACTCCGTTATAGACAAATTCAGGTAAAATGCAAACGATATCACTAGTCAATTCGTCACTGATGAACCAACGAGAAAAAAAAATCAAATGATGTTTTTTCTTTCAAAATTCAAACGATAATGCAAATTCTACAAATAAATTTCACTGTATCTGAAAAAGGCACACACCGCGTCCACTTCAGATTAATCTTTAATCACAACAAACATAAACGATCCGTGAAGAAGAAGAAACAAGATCGAAAAATATCTCTTTGACAGCTCCGATCGACGGAGAATCAACCAGGCGAGAGAGTTCGAGCCATTTTGAGAGTGCCAGAGAGAATCGGGGAATCGTTTTCTCTTTTCCCTGATGATGTTTGTTGAGATGAGGGCGCTGGCGTAGAGATCATGAACCGGCTGGACTCACTTCCAGATTCAGGTGGGTGTGTGCGATGATGAGTGCAAGTGTCGCAACCTTTTGTTTACTTTTGAAGCTGGAGAGCTTCTGTAATTCCCGTAATCAACGAATACGCTTTTCGATACAAGAGTAATGATTTTCGGTGTCGGGTTCTTTTAAGAAATAAATTTCAATTAAGGAAAAACCCACAGTGTTTTTATTATGTCTCATAAGCGAATTAAATTAAATCTGAGTTGATTTACTTAGCAAACAATAAAATAATAATTATTTAGAAAATTTTCTGTGATCAAACTCCTGACGCATTTTTTAATTAACTTTTTTTATTGAAAAAAATATTTTTTTTTTTACTTTTAAAGTATTAGAAACTCGTTGAACTTTTGCTTAGATTTCAAACATTTCATTAACTTGCAGTCCGTATAAGAATCTAAATTTCGTAGTTTTTAAATGGTCTAGAAATATAAATCATTGTTGCTATCTTTATGAGTTTAAGTGTTGAATAAAATTGCTAATAATAAATTAGGTTTTTTTTATTATTAAGAAATCAATATTTATATTGCGTATAAATATTTTATTTTATTTATTTATTTATTTGATAAATAAAGCTGTTTTTGCATTATGAAAACAGAAAATAAAGTTTAAAGAATACTTTAATGTTAAAACATCCTCGAAAAATGTAGAGTGAGTCAGAATCATGAAAAATTAGTGTGCAAATGGTAGCGAAAAGTTAGCAAAATAAAAGATATTAAAGTAAAAGTTAGCAAAAGATATCCGAGCACATATAGGATTAGGGAAACAACTTGATGGGGACTTAAAGAATTTAAATAATTTAAACAACTCAGCTTTAAAATACCAGATAGTTATTTACTAGATACGTTTTTCTATTAAATTTTAGAACTTTTTAGATCTTTAGACATCAATTGTTTAGAACTTGGCAGAAGAAAAAAAAACAATGTTAGATGCCTGCAGCAAACAATAATAATCTCTCAAACATTGAATTCTTTTCCTATATTCTTCCACTAAATTGACACAAGTTAGCACATTCTTCCACTAAACTTTCCAATTCATACAGCAATTTTAATGTTTTGTTTTATAAGTCGTGTGGAACAGCTAACCCAATTCTGAGTTTATGACTATCAATGCTGAACTCCGTAGCCTTATAGGTTTGATCCTAACCCAGAAAATAAGGGATCAAGCATTGGGACAAACTAGCCTTTTAGGAGGACTTTTTGATAACACCTACTCGCATTTGCGTGACATAGAGGGAAAAACCGCGAAAACCTTCTATGATTAGCCCGACTGCAAGGGATTTTTAACTCATGATCCGTCTACCACTGAGGATTACCACAGCTGAAATTGAAACCTGGGGCACGTTCTATCACCTGCGACACCATAGCTTTCATACAGCCATAGTGATTTAACAGCCTAATTATGTCTCTAATGTAAACATAAAATAATTTTAGATTTATTTTAATACACGATGATATTTTTCACTGCCCATAAAATATCGATAGGTTCTTACCGATAATTTGCTCTTATTTAAATTTTTGTGTTTTGACCTTCAACAAACACCTGTCAGAATAATAGACTACGCAAAGCCTAGTATCTATGCATAGTAACGTGTAAAAAAAAAGATTAAAATATCTGACTTTTTCATAACTTTCACACTCGTTCAGAATCTGAAAAAAATTGAAAACATTCAAAACGCTGATGTTCTAAAACGCGTTGAAGTCATAATCCGACGCGCCAGAATGACCACTGATGATTTAGATATGAACCACTTGTCTGCTGTTCTTTGTCATTGTCTTTCTCTTCTTCATTTTTTGTTTTTTCTTTTTACTTCTTCTTTTCACTGTTCAAGGGTCAAAGCAGGATCACTTATAATTCTTTTGAAATAATCTTTGATTTTACGGCTCATTTCTTACCAGTGTTTTTATTTGATTGTTGCTTTCCTCGAGACAAGTTCGTTGTCTGTTTGTTACGTTATAAACAAGGCAAATAATTCAATTAAGTTCTTGAGATTTTTTTCTTGTATGTAAGGATATTAATTTTGATACGGAATATAATAGCTAATACAATGTATCATTGATAAGTTTTCTCCTGAAATCATAAAAATTGCATCTGAGTGCGAAAGAACCTGAAAAGTACTCTTACATCAAAAGGCCTATGTAGGTTCAGTACAATAAATAACCAAAGTATTTATAAATTTATTTACATAACATTTCTGAAAAAAAAAATAAAAAGTAAAAAAATCCGTCACATCGAACATTTAATAATAGTCGAAAAAATTTTGAATTATAAGGTATGCAATCTTTTACAATTTTAATGAAAGTAGCTGTGCGAGGCAAAATGTAAAATCTAAGCGAAAATCGGTCAAATAATTCCTGAGAAATAGAATTTTAAAAATACGATTTTTTTTTTTTTAATATTCGATTTGTTAGGAACTATTCGACTGATTTCGCTCAGATTTTGTATTTTACCATGCGAAATTACATTCTTTAAAGTAATATAAAAAATTGTATACCTTAGAATACAAATTTTTTCCAACTATTATTGAATAAAATAATAAATATTTACTAAAAGTTGCTTTTTGCATGGAATTATCTTTAAATAAGCAAATATTATAAGTGCGGTCAAAAATCTTTCTATTCTCTTAAAAAGCTCTCGAGATAAGGCGGAATTCGTAAAAAATAACATTAAATTATATTAATTGACATTAAGGGGTCCAAACTTTAGACCGCTCTTTTGACCAAGCTATTTGGACAACATTTCGCAGATTGCGGCTATCCCCTATATTTTGGGGATCAGAAATCTGAATCCAATGGAAAAAAAAGTTATGTTTATTCACAGAAAGTACATTTTTATGTCTGATTTTGTTACTTAAAATAATGTCTGCACTAATTAATTAACATATTTGACGTCACCCCATCGAACCATTAAGATTCATTTCAAGAACATGAAAATTCAATCACTAGATCAAAAGTTATTCTAGTCGTTTTATTTACTTTTTGCGCACTGTACATTACGAATTCTTTAAAACTACGAGTATTTAAATTTTTATTTGTTACAGTTCATATCTCAGGGTTATAATTTTGGCCAAATATACGAGAAAGATTGTGGACCAGTGTTTGCGCAACCCTTCAAACAGATTTTGCATTAAAATTTGTAATTGTAACACCAAGCAAATGTCATTCTCTTTAAGACAAACTATCTTTCTTTTAAAGAAATAATAATTAATTTGTTAAACCTAACAAAATCAATTAAATCCATGCGACTTGTACCTTGAACCAGTCTATTCTGAGTCTATTCTGCTTCAGACTGGTTCAAAGTTTATGCAACAGATCCGATCAGCATTAATTCATTTCCCTTGGGGCTTTATCTCTCACGATTTACACAAATTTTTATGTTCTTAGTTAGCTGTAAAAGTTTGGAATTAACAATTAATTATTAATTTGGTATTATGCTTATGGTTCACTCGTCTTATTTTTGCTCATCCAGAATACTTTTAAGTTTTGATTTGCATGAATGTGCGAAGATTATCCTTTAATAGCTTTCTACCCTAATTTGTATACTGTGCTTTACATCAATAAAACTAGCTATAACTCGCGAATGTTAAATGAAAGTGTCTTTGACTTTATGTTAAGTTTAAAGTGTCTAAGGGAGTTTTCACTCATTTTTAAAACATAGTCTGACTAATCTATTTATCAAAGGGAAAGTAACTAATAAATATCTTTATCATTAGCGCTTAGTAAAAACTTATATGTGTAACAAATATGGAAGAAAATAAAATTCATAAAAATGAAATTTTTCTATACTGCTTTGTTGCAAGAAAAAATGTTAAATATTTAAATATTCTTGCATAAAAATTATTTTAGAACAAAATGAAATGTTTGGAGAAAAGAAAGGAAATTAATATTAAAAAAATCTTTCTTTTTTTAAAATGCCATAACTCAAGATTGTAACTGCCTTTTTTGTTATGTTAATTATAAAAATCGGATTTATGTTCCAATTTGACTTTTTTTTTACAAATCTTACAATTTTTAAAATTTTAAAACATTTAAAAACATTTGCTGAACTCAACAAAAATATTATAATGAAGCGTCTTATTTTACATTAAAAATAGCATTTCAGTATAGATTTAAAATAGACAAAAAGTCATAATAATCTAATTTAATAATTTTATTTAGTAACGCAATTTCGAAATCGTTTTCAAACTTTCATTTTTAAACTTGTTATTTTAAAAAGTAAAACACAGATTAAATTAGCGAATAACAAAACTAATTTTTTTAAATATGATAAGAAGAATGCAATTGCTTAGAGTAAAAAAAATTACAAAATTTCAGACTCGTTCTCTAATTTTTAGTTTTTGATTTTTAAGTATAAAACACAAAATTTTCCTCGTACAAAGAAAGCCGTCTTTTATATTCAACAAATAAATTTCAATATTTAAAAAGGATAAAAATTACGCAATTTTTGGTGCAGATTTAATTTTAATGGTGTTGTTTAGGCTTTTTAACTTTCATTTTTTGCTTCAAAATTTTTAGTCAAGCCAATGTATTGGATAAAATATTACAGCAAGCTTTAAAAAAATTTCAAACAAAATTTAAAATTCATATTCGGTTTTCACATAGTTACAGAGATTGCTAGTTTAACAACAGTCCATATTAAAAATACTTCAAAAACACAAACTTGATTAATACATTAAATAAGTTTTGTTAAACAAGCCCCACGTGATCAACACTGAGCAACAAAAACTATAATTTCACAACATTTTTCCTTTTTAAATTGGCAAATCAATTTTCATTGTGCATTGTCACCTTTTGAAAAGAAAACTTTACGAAAGCGTAATATTTTACCATTAGAATACCACGCTCTTAGAAAAATTCCCTTTTTTAGAGAATGAACTATTATTTAATT